AGAGGTTTCAAAGTTTCAGAACCTCTTTGGAGATCTGGCTATAGGGGATCAATGAAATATCTGTAACTTTGTTGTTTTATCTCTGATTTGGGTGAACCTTGCAGGGGTGGTAGCCTATGCTGAGAGCATGAACTCTACCAAGTTTCAAGAAGATAGGTGCAGGGGTTTTGGGGAAACTGCACCCCAATTTTTTTAAAGGAAAACTCAAGTCACATCTATGTGTTACACCACAGGGGGCTGAAAACTGCAAAAGTGATAGCTGCTGGTGAGGCCACAAAGAATATCAGCACAGGGGTTTGGGGGGAACTGCACCCCAAGCTGCTGACAGGCAAAACTCATGACACCAATGACCCTATGTGTGTTAAGGCACAGCGGGCTGAAAATTGCAGGGATGGTGGCCCCTGATCAGGCCACAAATCCTGCCAAGTTTCAAGAAGATCAGTGCAGGGGTTTGGGGGGAACTGCACCCCAAGCTGCTGACAGGCAAAACTCGTGATGTGGGTGGGTGCTTGGGCAACTGCGTCTGTCTTGGGGCACAGTGGGGGTGAAATGTAGTGCAGGACTGCGTGCTGGGCCCTGACAGGCCACAAAGCCTGCCAGCTGTGTGTGTCTCGCTGAGGGAGTCTGTCGTCCCTCTTGGGTGACTGCGTCTGTCTTGGGGTACAGGAGAGTAAAATCTAGTGCAGGCCCACAATGTAGGCAAGAAAGCCAGTCAGTGAAAATGGAAATGGAGGTGTCAGGGGGTGAGGGACAGGCTGGGGTGGGGGGTAGGTGGGACAGGGGGATGTAGCACTGCAGGTAAAAGTGCAGAGGTGCCTGGGGTGTCAGATGTCCGGCAGGTCGCAGTGTGAAAGAATTCCACAGTGTATATTGAGGCCATGAGTTTCTGTACCTGCTACCTAGAAGGCTGATGAAGTGCAGCCTCACCTCTGCACTTCGGCCTCCCTGACTTTGTTCACCAGAACCTGCATCCACCGATCAAGGGTTTTGGAGCTGCCAGTGCACATGCTCCCCTTCACTCTCAGGTCACAAATGCCTGCCATCATGTGGACCGTACTGGACCACAAGGGATCCAGCCATCTCCTGATGCCCTCCTTCAGCTGCCTCACCAGTGCCTGCACATCTGGTGACAGCGGCCTGCCCCAGCCAGGAACATTGATCCCCTGGAACTTCTTCATTTCGTTTTCCAGTTCCCTCACTAGGGGAATCACCTGGCTGAGAAGGGCATCGCCAGCACTAAGGGTCTCGGTGGCCTCAAGGAAGGGCTTGAGGACCAGCAAGATCTGGGAGATGGTACCCCAATCAGCTCTGTTCAGAGGGGGCACTGATCCCTATCTCCCCAAGCAAGGCCATCTCATGGATGGCCTTTTGTTGCTGCACCAAACTTTCAAGGATCAGGTATGTGGAGTTCCACCGAATCTCTACACCCTGTCTGATTCTGTGCTGTGGGATGCTCATCTCTTCCTGTTTCTCCCACAGCATCTTGCCCGCACCAAACTTTCAAGGATCAGGTATGTGGAGTTCCACCGAATCTCTACACCCTGTCTGATTCTGTGCTGTGGGATGCTCATCTCTTCCTGTTTCTCCCACAGCATCTTGCCCCTCTTGATGCTGTGGTGGAAGTAGCCTGCCACCTTTCTGCATTTTGAAATCAGCTGGCTTGTAGCAGTAGTGGTGCTGGCACCATCACCAGCAGCCCTGTCCCCCTCCAAGGCATCCCTCGCTATTAAGTGCAGCCTGCGTGCCACACAGCAGATGCCAACAAAGTTGGCATCATGGACAGCCTTCGCTATATTGGCCCCATTGTCAGTGACCATGAACCCATGGGTGAACTCGGCCTGCCCAATGAGCTACCCCTGCACCACATGGTTCATGGCCTCCATGATCTCCCTTGCCGTGTGGGACTGATCTAGCACTTCCACTTGCAGTAGAGCCCACCGATGGCCTGACAGATCGGCAGAGGTAGACTTCATTGCTACCCCGGCTGCTCCAGGTTTTGGAGGTTAATTGCAAGGCTACCCACAGCCCTGCCTTGTGCAGATCCTCCCTCAAGTACTCCCTGCATGCCGCATAAAGGGAGGGCACCACCGCCTTGGTAAAGGTGGTGCATGTGGGCACTTTGTAAAATGGGCCAGAAGTGATACAAGCCACCTGAACCCTGGCTGCTCAACTAGGGAGAAGGGCTGGCTATCCAGAGCAAGCATCTCCCCAATGCTCTGGGTGATCTTGCTCACCTTGGGAGCGCACCCCGCTTTCTGTCTACCTTTCCACCACTGGTCCAGGGTGGCCTGCCTCTGCTTTGGTGGGGAAGGGGGCTTTGGAGCAAGCAGGGGACTTCCCTTTCAGCACACTCACACTGGTGCCAGGCTGAGCAGGAAGAAGGGGAAGGGAGTGCTGCCTCCTCAGATGCAGAAAAATCGCCATGACGGAGAAGTGTCTCATGTCCTTGCCATGGCTCATGTGCGTTCGGCAGTGCTGCCAGATGGCAAACCTGGGATCGTCTGCCACCTCAAAATGATCCCATACTACACTACTCCCCCAATTCTGGGTTTAGGGTCAGGATCCTGCCTTTTCCCCCTTCTCAATAGGCTGAGGCTCAACAACAAGAGGAGCTGCCTCAGATGAGCCACTTGCCTTCACAACATCAGCCTCCTCCAAGGTGCTGCTTTCCGGAGGAGACCTGGGTCTAGGGGAAATTTGAGGGGTGTGGAGCACAAACTCTGATTCCCCTTCAGTCCCCAGAATTGCTTCAGCCAGCACGCTCAGCATCCCTGGTTCCAGCTCCAGCTCCTCTGGCAGTTGGAGGCTCACAATGAGAGCTGAAATTGGGGTGGAGGAGACAGTGATTCCAGTGCTGGTGCCCCCTTCTGGACTGCGCAGAGGTGGTGCAGGTGCAGAGATGTCAGGTGCAGACACTGCTCCCACCTCCTGGCTTCCACTGACAGCACTGATGTCCTGGCTGCTTGGGAAGAGAATGCATCTGTGTTGGGGGCGTGTGCTTGCAGCTCTAGCTCTCCCCCTACCCCCTCTCCCTCCCCTGCCAGAAGACCTGGCACCTGCCTTTCCAGCACATTTCATATTGATCTTTCCTGTGCTGCAAAAGGTCTGTGTGTGTGTGTGTGTGTGTGTGTGTGTGTGTGAATCCTTTTGAATTGTGTGTTTTATTCCCTCTGTTGCGTGCATACACTGGTCTCTTCTTTGACTGTTTGCTTCAGTGTTAAGGGTTAAGTAAAAATTGTGTGCTGTCTGTCTGTCTTCTTCTGCTATGAATATCTGATTTTTAGCTATATTTTGTGTATATCTGTGTTTCTGTGTGTGTGCATGCAAGCAATCTGTGCCTACCTGCACAGTGGTAGATCACACTGGCAGGGAAAATACCCCTTTCTTTTTTCAAGGTTTCCAAAAAAAAAGAGCAAATATAAATTCAAAGAAATACATTGAATAGTAATACTACTAGTAATTGAATAGAATAGCTAAGCTAAAATAAGCTAAGCTAAATCCACCCACTCCTTGTAACAAGAAAAAGGAGCAGGCCAGTTCAACTAGTACTGAGCTAGCAAGCCACAATGCATCAGTCTGAGCATTCCTCTGTCACACAGTTGCTGACTGAGGAAATGGTTCTTGTGGCAAATGTAGTAAAAGCTGCTGAGAACATGTTGTCTCAGTATTTGCACAGCTTAGTAGAAACAGAGATCTGTCAGTTATCTGGCTAGAATGGAACCAGCGTACTTGTGTAAGACAACATTAACAGCTTCTGTGGGAGAGGAACTCTGTGAATATGCCTTCTCAAGAAGATTTGTTGGGAAAGAGAGTGAGTGACAACCAGTTAGCGAGTTTCTATTTGTTGTTTAAAACTAACTTGGAGAAAGTAGAGACTTGTGAACATGGAGTGTTTCTGTTCTGTTTTTATAAGGTAGACTAGAAAGACATATTTAATATAGCTAAGATTTTCATTATAACCTATGAGAGAGAGGCATAACTGGTTCTGAAATTTAGAAAAATTCCCTGTCCAATTACTTTAGGCATCTTTGAATATCAAAAAATAGATCTAGAATCTGTGCCTCGCTCATTAGTTAATAGAGCTGCTGGATACCAGAATCTCCATTCCTTCAGAAGTTATGAAACCTCCATTTTCTTTATCTAGTCCAAATCAAAAGAAAAAAGCTCATATTTTTACAATTAGCAAGAAATCAAAATTATGCAACTGTGTTTTGAGAACAGGAAAATGAAATTGTTAGGGTGACAATAATTTAGTTTCTTAGGGAGCACTGGATTTGCAGCTGAATAAAGGCATAACCTGTGGCCTAGCAGCGCTGCTGACCACAAGGCAGAATGATAGCTAAGCCAGACATTTGCTTATGCTAAGTAACCATTTTAACTGTGTCAACCATTATCTGAGGGAAAAGCAGCAAGTCAATGTGTGTGAGTCTGTGTGCTGTGAACCAGCTACAGCGAGGAACAAGATAAGATACAGAGGCCCAAAAAAAGGTGAAAGTTGTTTACAACCTGAGTCAGAAAAACAGACTGGAACAGTGGAAAACAACACGTAATTAGTAACAGAATCTGAGATGAACATAGGCAAAAAAGTGAATGGTGATTGGTGAAGAAGCCTCCAGAAGCTTCCAGGTTTTGGTCAAAGTCCACCCATTAACTGTAGAAGAGAAGTCAAGGTCTTAGACATGTGTTCATAGCAAAAAGACATGTAAATAAGTAAAATGCTTAGCAATTCCACGCTAATGAAGCAAACACTAAACAGAGGCGGAGCTTGAGATAGGAGGAGAAATGGGTGGAACAGAGGCAGGACGGAGATGGAGCGAAAGTTAATGAGTATAAACCAAAGTGTATAAATGTAAGAAGAACACATTGTTTGGGGCTGCTCCTTGTGTCTTATGGCAAGAGAGCTCGCCCAAAGCTGTCTCCATTCTGAATAAAGCTGTTGTGAACAATGTGTGCTGGTGTTTGCTCCCTGCCCTGCTCTGGTTAATGAGTAACAGGATCCACGGTTAATTGGACCGTTGTCTCCCTAGTTGTTGGGCGCTGCATGGAGTCAGGGTCTAGCATCTTGGCGTAGTCGGAAGTATTCGACACACATTTGGAGGGGACTGATCATCCAGATCCTACCAGGGTAAGGCCTAGCAGGTATACTGGGTTCTCATGGGCCTGGGTCGCCTCGCGTGTACTAGTTTCTCTTGGGCTGGCTCAGCTATTGTACCCCATCTTTTACCTTTCCCCAGTACCATGGCAGCAAGTTCAGAGGCTTTTCCTCTGTGTGTGTGGGATCAGGGTGACCTCAATGTTCTTTCTGTGAGTTGGCCTAAATGGAATGGGTGTCCGCTGCAGGGCCCCAGGAGAGTCCGTCTACCCTGGCTTGGATTACGACCCAGAGTTGGGTCGAGGAAACTTTAAGTAAAGCAACTGCCCTCCAGGCTTTAGCTTGGAGTGTTCAAGATTTCACCTTCAGACTGCTAACATCTAAGAGAGAAAGCCTCAGAGTAAAGCCTGCATTCTGGCCAGATGTACTCTGATGGCAGCCCTAGGCTTAGTAGATATAGAATTGTTTCATTGTCTGTATTGTTCCTTTTTTGTTCTTGCTCTTTATCAATAAATTCACCTATTATCAACTGGCAAGTGTTGTGGTCAGCCTGAGGTTGTGTCCATCCAGAACAAAGGTATAGGTACTGGGTCCAAAACCAATCCAACAATTGGCAACTCTACCAGGACACAAGAGTGGTAACCTGACTGATCTGGAAATTTGTTGATGCAGAGTGATTTGTTTTAGAGGGGTGAGCTGAAACTTGTAGTAAGGTAGAGTTATATAGGAAGTAACTGAAGTTATAAGTATTGTGCAGGAGATGTTGTTTGTTTCTGCTGACCAGGAAACTTTGTTTGTCCAGGTCAGGCAGAGTAGTGGACAAGAGTATATGCTGTGGAAGTATATGCTGTAGTCTGCTTAGAATTAAGTAAGAACGTCCTGTTGTGTTTTCTATAGGAAGCTAAAAAGCAAAGAAAGTCATCTCTCAGCTAAAAAGACTGTGTGAATGAACAGGGTTCTTTAAAATCCCTGGAAAAAAATAATTACAGCGTTCTGTGCAGAAAAAAAGACAAAAGCAGGTGTGTGTTTGCTGTGGAGTTTATAAAGTGTAAGTTACCAGTGCAGGATATAGCAAAATAAAGTGTTTTACAGAAGTACAGCTTCATAAGAGATCAAAACCAGTTAGGAAATGTAAGAGAGACACTCTAGAATTCTGTGTGTATCACAAAATAGAAGCAAAGTAGAGCACATAAAGAAACAAGGTATGTTACTAGATATCTGTTCAAGCAGTGGCAGAGAATTTGTAATTAGAAGTGAGAGGAAAAACTTGGTTTTCCCCCCACACCTACTTCTCCAGGAGCAGGGAAGAGACTAAAAAAGATAAAGATTGTTAACACTGTATAAACAGAGATAAGTGCCCAGAACTAATCTGAGTTACTCTGAGCGGGGGAAAAGGAGTAATCTTATCAGAGGCATGTTTGTTTTCCTCCAGGAAAAAAACAGCAATTAAGTCTATGTGCTGTGAACCAGCTACAGCAAGAAATGAGATAAGATACAGGGGCCCAAAAAGGGTGGGGATAGCACAACTTGGGACAGAAAAACAGATTGTAATGTGAAAGATAACATGTAACCAAGATGAACTTTTGCAAAAGGGTGGATGGTGATTAGTAAAGAAACCTTCTGAGTTTGCCCATTGACCAAAAAAAGAGGATTCATGGCCTTAGACATGCTCTCATAGCAAAAAGGCATGTAAATGAATGAAATGCATAGGCAATTCGATGTTAATGAAGCAAACAGTAAACAGAGGCGGAGCTTGAGATAGGAGGAGAAATGGGTGGAACAGAGGTGGGACAGAAGTGGAGTGAATGTTAATGAGTATAAAACAAAGTGTATAAATGTACGAAGAACCTATCGTTTGGGGCTGCTCCTCGTTTCTTACGGCAAGAGAGCTTGCCCAAAGCTGTCTCCATTCCGAATAAAGTTGTTGTGAGCAATGTGTGCTGGTGTTTGCTCCCTGCCCTGCTCTGGTTAATGAATAACAGGATCTATAGGTAATGGTCTCCCTAGTTGTTGGGCGCTGCATGGAGTCAGTGTCTAACAGAAGTTATTAACACTCTCCAATCATTTCATGACTATTTTATCATTTCATCTTGTTTATTATATTATAAATGTAAACAAGGCATAGTCAAATTGCACTACTTCATTGATTTTCTATTGATATCCATGATTAAAGGATGTGTCCCCACAATATAATTTGATTCTATTTAAACAGTGTGTTATACAACAGTAAACTCATCCATGAGCAACTTGATTAGGTTTGCAGGGTATAATAGCTGAGATCATAGACAAAATCTTCCTCCAGGCACAACTCACTGTGAAATTTCTTGTGTACCTTTCCCCAGAAGCACCTGGTGCTGACTACTGTCTGAAACAGCAGAATCTCATCTTCCATGTCAAAATTCCCCAAATTGTTATGTTCCCATGTTAAATATGACTTTTCTCTAATTTGTATTGCACAAGGCAAAGGAAGAAAGAATCAACTACCTATTGGCCTGAGTTTTTGAAAATCCTGAGTGGGGAGGAGTGCTTTCTTTCCACTGAATTTAAAAGGCCAGAGTACACTATTAAAAAATACAGGAAAGTGAGATGGAAGGAAGACGAGGGAGCCAGGTATAGTATTTTTTTTTTACAGCTTTCATTGTAAATATTGCTAACCCCAAGTACTGAAATATTAGATCACACTTTGTATTATGGGAACATTCATAAGGCGTCAAAGAACAAATAATAGATTGTTTTTATAGATAATTCACTGCTTATTCTAGGTTGTTATATTGTCTGATTGGTCAATGGGTTGCTTTCAGCAATTTACTTAGATCAGCAGTGGCCAAACTGTAGCATTTGTGTCACACTGTCGCAAGGCACTAAGGTGCCTGCTCCTAGAAGAGCAGAAACTGCCTGGGGAGAGCCCAAAGAGACAGACAGAAGCCCAGGTGCAGGTTACCTGGGCAACAGGCTAGAGAGCAAATTAGCCTGCAGCTGCACCTGGTCAGTTGACCAAAAGGGGCAGGGCCGTGGGCCCATATAAACCCCCAGCTGGAACTAGGGGAGGCAGTTCACTGCCAGCAGCCAAGTGGGAAGTAGCCTTCCTAGAGGGAACTATGGGAAGAGGCCTGAGGGCTAGTCTAGCTTCTGATAATGCCAGGGGTAAAGTTGATACTTTTAAAGGGGTGGAGCACAATTGGAACTTATGTGTTATGTTCTAGCCCAGGGGCGTATGTTTTGTTTGCTGTTTCATAACCACCGGTGGTTTGAGTGAGGCTACTGAGGAAGGAAGAGGCCTCATTGAGGGGGGGTCACTGTAGTGTGGGGGGACCCCAGTGCCAGAGAGGGCGTGGTATTTGGGGCACACAGACCCTGATGCCACAGAGGGCATGGTATTTGGGGCACACAGACCCTGGTGCCAGAGGGGGCGTGGCACTAGGGGCGCAGAGACAGAGGCAGGGCTGTAGAGAACCCAGCCCTGAAGGGTGCAGAGACAGGGCTGTGGAGAGCCCAGCGAGGACAAGGGGCTGAGTTGTAGCAAGTCCTGGGAGAGAGAACAGCAATACCATCTGTGGGGCTTGGGGCATGGCAAAGGGGTGGTTTGGAGCCATGCATATAGCCCATAAGGCTCGGATGTCCCGAGACATCTATTCTGAAACAAGATCCACAAGGGGTCTGGGGACCCACGGGGTTCAGGGAAATCCATCAGGACCGTGTCCAATTAGACGTGAGGGCAGCCTCCCTATATTATATTTACATCAAGACGTGGCGGGCGAGAAAAGAGGGTCCATTTGGTCCATTTAACCCATTGGGCCAAATTGGCATGGCCGAGGAGCTCTGGGTTATCACGGCCATCCTTGGAGACCCCATCCCGTGGCACACACATAGCATGGTCAGCCTATGTATATGGCATTCAGCAGACAGGGAGGGGACAGACAGCACAACAGCAGGTATAGCAGGAAAAAGAAAACAGAGCAGCAACTTGGGTAGGGGAAGAGGACTGGAGTTGCACTTGAGGAGCAGGTGGGGATAATTTGTGTCATGCCTGACAGAAAGGTTAGTTCCCACTGGCATAGAGAATTCTTTAATATCCCACTATTCTTATTTCTGATGTGCTTGTACTTTTTTTATTAAACTTTTTCCATTTATGAACTGCTTATCATATGAAGAATATCTGATTTCATTTTCCCTAGCATTCTTACTCAAATTATTTCTTTATGCCTTTATTTTAGTCAACATGATGTTCCATCAGAGACCTTTATTAATAACTGCTGGAACAAATTTGATGCATTTGTGCGGTGTTTTTTATTTTAATTTTGTTTGCAGGGGTTGAAAGGTGCATAGAGGGGTGGGGTCAGGGTTTGGGGAGGGGGTTCTTTTTTCTTTTTTTCTTTTTGCAAGGCTGATACAACAGAACTTGAAATGCCCACCACAGGGCTAATTTTGATGAATGTCACATTAGCAACCCAGAATAAAACATGCTACATGTCATTTATACTGTAGTTGTTCAGCAGCTTGGATATACCTTTGTGTTTTAGGTGGAACTGGATGTAAGCTATCATTGTGGATCTAACATTCTTCCAAAGTCTAACTTAAGGGATTATTTTCCCTGTCTCTCACTCCACAGAATGAAGGGAAAGTTCGAATTTCCCAGGAGCTCTCAGAGGGTGAAAAACGTGGCACCACCCACAGAAAAACCACAGTGAAGAAATGCTTGGACAACTTTGGCATCTCCTGCAATGAAGTATAAATATCAATATTTCATTGTTATGGTGACTTGTTTGGAGCCAGGGAGAAAAAATCCACTTAAAAAAACAGCAGAGGAAGAGCTCCCTTAAAATGATACAATATTGTGAAGGAAAGAGGAGAAAATATTCCATAAATATGAAAGCTCAAGTTCATTTTCTTCATTTGTTTTACATGAAAAAGAAGACCATTCCTTTTGAATGGAAAAATGAACATTTCCAGGGGGAGTGGGATTTTTAACTATTATTTTAATAGAAAATATTTATAAATATTTGACCAAACTTTATGCGCTGGATGCATTAGTAAAAAGAATACACTGCCTTAATCTCTGAACTTAGGTACTGAAATGCAGGCATTCTAAAGTGTCAGTAAACAATATATTTGCACAGAGATACAGACCATAAGCCAGATTCTATCCTATCTACTAGATATCTAAGTGGACTTGGGTACCTTGGTTCAGATGGAAACATATACCCATTACCTGCCGTAGTCTGTTCCATTGTGGAGTAGCTATTTGTTCATGTTAAACAGGTTTCTACCATCTCCCCTGCAGAAAACAAATATAACGTTAGAACTTTCAGCTACCGGACCTTAAAGCAGGGATAGGCATTGCCCTGCGTTGTCCTGGCAGGTGCATCACTGCAGGTAAAAAGGAAAGAGCTGAAGTAGACAATGCAGAATCTTCCAATTCTCTTGCTTATTTGTGTCTGCAACTTTTTGCTTCCTCAGGACGAGGTGCCTCATATTGCAATCCTGGGTTCAGGTGGTGGTTTGCGTGCAATGATAGCCCTGCAGGGAACCTTGGGGGAGCTGCAAAACCATGACCTGTTGGATTCTGTCATGTACCTGTGTGGAGTGTCTGGGTCCACCTGGTAGGTGCACACAAAAAGACATGAGAGTGAGGTCCTTTGTAGAATTAACCATTGAGAATTGATGTTATTATTAGCTCAGTTCCCTGCTGTTTACTTCATAGACTAAGAGAAAAATTACTGTCTGTCTGTTATCTGAGAAGGTGAGAATCTCAGAATTTGAACTTCCAAAGAATCTGGGACAGCTGAAAATTGTAAGTTCATTGAAATGCAAGTGTCTAGTTCCACAGCTATAATTTAGGGCTAATACTCTGTTCAATTTGTATCTCTGAAGCTGCATAACTGCATTTTTTGGCACTTAAGCACAGTTTGTGACTCAGCAGTGTTTGCATTAAGCCCCAAAGCATGCTCAGTAAGGCTGTGCTCTGGCCAGTTAGATGTTCAGTGAAACAGGCCTTCATGTAAGGTCTGGTGTGTCTTGAAATGTTAGTCATAGGAAAACTATGATTAACAGGTATGAGATACATGTAAGGATTACCTTGTCTTTTAGCTTAGTGGCCCTGTGGTTTAGACACTTGCCCAGAGTGTAGGACATCCAGGTTGTAGTCCTCTTCAACCACAGAGGAATCTCCTAGATTCCAGAAAACTATTCTACCTACTTGCCCACAAGCTAGACATACGTGATTTCAATAAGGTAAAAAAAAAAGTCATCTGTTTTGATATTACCATTTCAATTAATTTTGTTTTGACTTTCATTTTTTTAATGCTGTTTTGTAACTACCGAACCAAAATTGTTTTATCTTACTGAAATAAAATGTTTCAAATATCAGCAGCACAATCTCGCTCAATGTTCTTGAAACAACAGAGTGTTCTTATGTTTCTGGCTCAATGTCTTTTAAATTTCTTTTTAGTGGCAAATTTGGACCTTTTTGTTCCATTTTTTGAATTAAAAGCAGTACAGTACAGTCACATCATACGCGAATTTAACTTGCGCAAATTCAACTTTACGTGGGGGGGCGGGGCTTCAGTTTGCTTCAGTTTGTGGCGCCGGCAGGAGGTTTTGCACGATTTTTGCCTTACGCACTGACCTCGGAGCCTAACCTCTGTGTAAGGTGTGACACGCCTGTATTTTAAATCAGGAACCATGATCTTAAATCAAGAACCATACTCAGGTCCTCAAAGGCATTTAGACATCTAACTCTTTTGATATCAAATGCCTTTGAGTACAAGAGCAAAGACACTAAAAACAGAGTATAAAGGTATTTATTCAATCTGAAAATGCAGGTAGGCCATTAGTGGGATAATCAAATATACTCTGGTGCACTCATTAGATGACTGTGAGCATCTGGATTCTTCTGAATGCTATTGAAGATGCTCAGCTGTGGGTCATGGGCCCCATGCATTGGTAATAGAAATTTCCATTTTCCTGCAATCTGTCCTGGGGGCCTACCTTGTAGCCGGTCAGCCAGCCATACAACCATTGCTGGTTGCAAATCTTGGACTTAGCTAAAATGATGACTAGAATTAACTGATAAAGACTGTGGAGGGCTAGTGGGGAGGAAATGGACTAAATCCCATTTCTCTCACCATATGTTTCATGTCGTACATAGGTGTATGTCTTCTTTGTACAAACAACTGGATTGGTCAGATAAATTGTTAAGCTTGGAGGAAAGCATGTGTAAAATGCTCCTCTCCAAATGGAGCCTTTCAAATGCAAAGAAGATGTTGGAAGAGGCATCCAAGGATAAAAACTACTCCCTCACTGATTTCTGGTCCTACACAGTAGTGCATTGGATGTTGCATGAGGTGGGTGAAAATCTTCCCTTTTATCTTTGTTTCAGGTTGGTGTCACCACCAAAAGTATCTGATCACTTCACAATCTTTTAAAGAATCATAGAAAAATAGGGCTCAGGCAGTCAGTCAGTTTAGCTTGCAGTTTAAACCACCGAGTAAACATTTTTCTAAGCTGCACTTAGAAGCCTCCAAGGCCAGAGATGCCATAACCTCTAAGTTATGTATTCCAGTGCTTAATGACCTTCGCAGTAAGAAATGTCTTCCTGGTATATAACCCACATTCTCCTTCTTGTACTTCAGGCCCATTACTTCTTTTCTGCCTGTGGCCACAAAGAATAATCACCTGTTGGTTATAACCCTTATTTTAACAACTATTTATCAACATATTCCCATTCCCCCCGGCCCCTCCACTCTGTCCTCTGTCTCTTCTCCAGGCTGAATTAACCCAGGTCTTTCATGGTTTCCTTGTATGTCCTAGATGTCTAGCTACTTTTGTTGTTTTCTTCTTGATAAATTCCAAGTTGTCCATGTCTGTCTGGAAGCGCAGCATCCCAAACTTGCCACAGTATTCCGGGTTAGGCTTCACTAGTTTGAAATAGAATTGGAGAATCGCTTCCCATGACTTTGAAGAATATATCCCATAATCTTTCTCTTGATGCTGGAAAAATCCCTGCTTTAGAGATGAGGAAAGCAAGGAATAGAAAGACTAAGTGTCATTACTAAATTCTCAGAGGACCTCTCCAACACATGTACAGTTGGATCTATTTCAAAGGGGGAATGTTTCACAAGGTTCCTTTACTTAAGTTTCTTCATATTTCCACTTTGGGAATAACAAAGGGAAAG